GATTCTTTTGAAAAGATCACTGTCCCTATTCTTTATAACATCAGATATCAAAATGATCTTATTTGTATAGCCAAAACGATAGGCTCGCCGAAAAAAAGGTTTGCCTCCTGAGCATCCCATAATAGCTATTTAAAACAAAATAATTCAAAATGGCCGCCGTATCGCTGAAAAGGTCCATTGCTCTAGGTCCAGAAGGTGAACACTAACGTTATCTTTACTATACTAAGGCATTACAACTGATATACTTTGCCAAATGTTTCGTTTTTCGCTGTGAAATATAAATCGGGAAAGAGAGAGAAGACAATGTCTTAGAAAAAAAAACGAATCGTGGTCTTCAATCTTACCTGTCTGATCCAGACTTTGCTCGTCATAATCTGACTTCGTCCGTTCTACACAATACAGACAACAGAAAACAAACACCGACCTGAATCACCATCAGCTGTTTAAGTGTTTCAGTTGAAACATCTTTAGCGATAAGCTCAAGGAAATCATAAAGCATTCAAACGCGCCAGAGAAAACAAGTAGCAAGGAAAAGGTTATTTGAATCGTTAATCAAAAGTGACCAAGTTCCACTTCAGATATGAATAGGATAACGAGAATGATCTCTTGGTAGGGAACAAATTTTAAAACAACAGGTCTGAAATAGGATATAGATGAAATCACAAAATATACAGTATCACAAAATATACTAATAGGCTAAAGGTTTTTGATAAATGGGGCGCCACGCGTCCATAAAAAAGGTGCTTGCCCGCCATACATACCAGTTCAACTAGTTGGCTGAACATCATGTCAAAATCGACTGGTATTGGTTGTTCTTTGTCGATGACCGGTCTCACTTCTCTGCTGTAGTTTGCAAACAGATCCTTCATGAGGCGGTGCTCTGAGTCAAGATGCGGCTGACCTACACATACAAGACAGAATTAAAACTCAGCACGACAGCGTTTATGGACTGAATGACTTTGCTCAGCTAAGCTTTCCAATTGGACCAAAACGTTCGTGCAACGCGTATACCGTTTAACCAATCAAAATGCAACACGTTCTTCTTTCGTCACACTCTGGTCTGTTGCATTCATTTTCTGGCTAGGTGTAACACTTAAACTTCACCGTGAATTTTTTTGTTTTTTTTTTTAGCATTACTTTTTGCTTAGTATCTCTTGTCACCACCTCTAAGCTTTTTTTGCAATGGATCATTTTAGGCAGAAACTAGAAGAGAAACCGGACTTCAGGGTGAGAATGAATGGTCTTTGCATGGGTTATGGGCATAGCTTAGTCTCAATACTGAAAAAAAAAGATTTATATATTAAGTCAGATTGGTCAACAGCAAATACTATAAATGACGCTTAATCAATCAAAATTTTAATTATTTACGTTGTTATTTTTTGTTGTTTGTTGCTTACTAAAGCAGCATGAACTGAAAAATGTAGCATTTTTTGGAAGTTTGGGCGTTCGCGGTTAGCAGGCTACCTGCAGAGCTTTCTAGCAAACAGCAGGAAAACTATTTTGATAAACATCACTCACGGCGGTTGCTTAACGTCAAGTTCTTATATCAACGACACGCGTGCGAATAAAATGAACAGAGATTTAATGCTAACAATCTAGAATCGTTTTGGTGCCTGTTCGTGCACGGAGAGAATCCGAGTAGTCACAATAAGTGATTTACTTTTGTTGAAAAGCAAACTTTTAATAAACTTTTGAAACAATATAACAAAGTCAACAAAGGTGTTCTTTTTCTCTCGTTAAACTCCACAGAACATTGAAGTATTCAACAGCCAAATTGTAGTTGCGTTTCTATTTACTATACTCAAAATGAGACAACAGAAGAAACCGTGTTTCAAGTGAGTGCATGGGAACGTAAATACATTCACACCTCTTATCAATATATATTGTACCAAATCGCTGTTTATCATTCTAAATGCTATGTTTATTGTCAGTTGTTTATAAAGTTTAAAGAGGATTGATCTTAAACCTTGTCAAAATAAGAATTAGGCACAACAGATCTTGAGGATGTTTAACTTTCTAAATTAGTTTACTTGCGTCACCGAGGGTAAATACTGAAAATTTGGCCAAAGGCTTTACTTGAATTGTTGTTAAAACCAAGAAACTACTGTCTTTTCCATTCCAGCTGTGCAGAGAGGCAACGAAATTAATACGTGTATTTGGGAATTATTCTAAAAAAGACGAGCTGTTATTTTTTCGTGCAAAGGTTAACACTGTACATAATAAGCGACTACGTAACAACTTCCAAACTGAACAGAGCTCATACTTCAAAATGCTTGCGTTGGTTGATGTCTGTTTTGTTTTCAAGCATTAAACTTCAATTAAACTTGATGGCAATGACGGTCTTTTACTGCAACAAGGCTATGACTTTCACTTACTGTTGCTAAATACACATTGCCGTTGATCGAGTAAGCTTGTTGTGAGTTAACTGAGAGGTGGTGTCGTGGTTTTGCAGTATTCCTCGAATGCCTACCGGGTTGGTGACTGAATTTGTGACAATTCTTTGGTAAAGTAGGCTCCTTCCAGTAGTGAATAACCCATCGACACATACATGATAACAGTGTAATGGCTCGGTCAGCTTGTGTTCTTCTGTGTTGAGCTTGTTTGGAAAGGTAGCAGAAAGTCTAAAATCATGGAATGTTCTACGCTTTGTGCTTACGCTATGTGCCGTCCAGCATAGTGGTGAAACTCGGTAGGTAAAATGCGACAATTTTCTCAAATTATGGTTAACAATATGGCATCCACAGCATTACATGTTCTGGCTTATTAACTCCGCAGGGCTGAAATAAAGCCTGATATAAGTTTAAATTTGCTATAACTTGTTACCAACCCGTCAGATAATGAGTATTTGTGTTGCAGTAGTCACAATAACGGGTAATACAAGTAAGACCATTGCAATTGAAGGTACGTAGCAAGACGATTGCAATTGAAGGTAAGTAGCTGAGTAGACTCTGGTTGTTGAGAACGAAGTGCATGCTGTTTGGAACCTGTTTTCACTTACATTTTGCTCTCACATATGTGCTGCAGGCTACTCAAAATCAAGTGGCCTGTAGCAGCAGTCGAAGTTCAAAACAATTCTTCTAATTAACGGCTTTAGACTGTAAACAATCTCAACTTAGCAAAGCAGGAGTATCAAAATACGCCTTTTATAACATGGCAATGTATACGTACCTCGAAAGACTTTGTGACAGGCCGCAATGACCAAAACGAATAACAATCCGCTATGCGTCATGATAGTTTCACAGGAAGAGAACCTTCAAACGGTTAGCTTACATATACAAAATAACCTCAGTTTGGCATAAAAATGGCCTTAATTTCGACTGATTGTTATTTTTAAGCGCCTTAACAGCGGGTCGAATACCGTCCTCGACCAATTAACAGTTAAGCATCAGTTTCTTTTGTGTCATTGATTGTGCCATTCCTTTGTTTGGCGCGTTCCTTCACGAACAAAAACCCTTTGGAAAGCCTTTTGTGTTTTTGTTTCCCCCAGCTACATATCTTGATTGATAGAACTGAAAAAATGCTCAAACAAGAAATAAAGATTAATTAAATTATCCCGCATTCATTTGTGCCCTGCCGAGATGAATGAAGTGTCGATCAAGTCACGAGAAGTGATCAGTCAAAAGGCATAAACACATAATTGTTGTGACGAGTCAGTACAAATTTCATTTTCCTTCTAGAAAGAGTAATATCAGATAGACAAAACAATCAATCTTCTTTACTTATTACGTGATTGTTTACAAGAGTGTTAAGTATTCGGTGGTACACTGAGGGTTTTTTTTTTCTGAACCTATTTATCACATTTATGCAATATATGAGCTAAGTAAACTAGCTGGGTACAACATTTCTGTTGGCTGGAACAACACTCTACAATCCTCCACATCTTATTTAAGTGACGCACAATGAAAATCACAAGTTGTGAAATGATGCTGAATAAAATTGTTCGGTGAAAACCTGTGAAACATTCATCAGTGAACAGTACCAAGGAAATAGGATGAGATACGTATGACGGCAGAAACTATTTCCATGGTAACGTCAATTGTGGTAAAATGTACCCTTGTTCGAGTTCGATAACTTCAAACTACTCCTCAAAAAAATGGCAAAGCCGACAATTTTAGGATTTGACAAATTTTGTTTCCAGTTCGCGGCCACTTTATTTTTTGGTGAATTTAAGATACCTCTGAGTTCCTTCGATATTTGTCTCCAAAAACTGAAAGAAATATGTATTTTGTTAACTTAACAAGAATATATCAGAAAGAAAAACTTTCAACGAGTAGTTTTAAAATTGTATTTCAATTAACCATTTTCCTTATTCTCAGTAAGTACATGTATATGTGCTTGACAACTGGACGGGTTATCATCCTGAGAAGAAATTGACGTTTGATCGCATCAGTTTTGAATAAATGGGTCTGTCCTGTGATGTTACATTGCCTGCTATAGTTTTCGCATTGACAGATCCGGGAAAGGTCGAGTATCAGTTCGATCCCTGAAGGCTGCCACAGCACTCAGTCTCTCCGTTCAGTAGAACTAACATCTCATTCAAATGTAGTAAATAATATTATCAAAAGCAAGGTCATTGGATGATGCATTTCGAGAGTTTTCATTGGCTTAGCCATCATGGGTTATGAGCCATTATATCATGCTCTACAATATGGTAAGCGTACGCGTGATTTTTGGGGGCATTTTTATTTTTTATTTTATTCCAGTTTTCTACATTTTGGAGGCGTTTTTAATAAACAGTTATTCAACTCGCCCTTGTTGGATATGAGATGATTATAGCCAACTCGGCGCTACGCACCTCGTTGGCTATCTACCATCTCATGTCCAGCGCGCGTTCGTGGAATAATTGTTAAATATCATCGTAATTTGTAATTTATAGGAGGGCAGAGACCAACTTAGCTGAACTATTTAGAATAGTCCCACTTTCTAGACATCTTCCTCGACAGAAGCATCCTATGCAGATGTTCATAGGGCTCGTCATGCACCCCGCCCAAGCCCAGAGAACGTCTACGTAGGAGGCTACTTCAACGTGGTACGGGTAAGGTTGGAATCAGAAGCTGTTTCGCTCCAGAGAAGGATCGGACTGACTAAGTTCTTGACCTGAGACAGACGTGTCGTGACAATGTTATTTTTAATAGGACTTAGATCCTCTTCCTCGCCACTCATTTCTTTTACGCTATTACGCGCTATTCCTTTTTGTTTTCAGTTGAGGAATTTTTTAACACGCCTCTTTCTCTCTTATCGTGGTTTGTCTGACTTTCCGCCTTAAGTCTCTCTTTAACCATATCCCGCTCACATCCCTCTTTTTTCGATTCACGTCTGCAAAGAAATTTATTTTATTTGCATTCCCGTCAAAATAATACCTTTGTTAAAAACTTTGTTATTACAATTATAATTGCCAAACAACGGCTATAGGAGCTAAGTATCTCAGTTTTTCCAAGAGACGGGTTTGTCTAAATGATTAAAATACATTTGAAAAGAAGACTACGAGTAACGACTTCGAAACGACTGTAAACATGAAGAGAAAACTAGAGTTAAATCAATACTGAGACAGCGACAACACTTAGTGTTAGTTTGTGCTAGTTATGCTGCTTTTGTTTGCGGGATATCTGTCAAAAACGTTGCAATATTTTATACGCTTTTAAAAGTTGTGGTTAAATAGTTGTCAAACTCATTAATAGTTCATCAAGTTAAAACAAAGAAAATCCCAACCGTGAAGGAGGTTTGGATACCCGGTCTTAATTAGTATACATTTTGACGATTTTTTTTCTCCGTTTACTCCTTAGTGTTTTTTTTTTCGATTGAGTAGATATATCAAACACTCGAGACAGTGTTTCTTTGGTTATCCCAACACCTCTTCAAAAATACTTCGCTGCGAGTCGTATATTTTCAACTCTATTCTTGGTGTTTGGATATCCCGATGAAACTCTGTCTCTCGCGTTTGAAATGTTACATTTTAAATAATTATTCATTCTTGCTTTCAATGGAGCACGCAAGATTCAATACTGTCAAATACAGGGTAATACAGTCATAGTAAACTGGTGCCATTGTAAACGCCATGCAAGTTTAAGTGACGTTCCAGCTCCATATGTCAGCTACACCTTTGTTTACTGAACATTCATAGCGTTTTACCAATGGCTAGAACTCTTTCGAAAAAAAAATTGTCTGTCAAGGAGGTTCCCCTTCTAGCTACTTTGGGATCATAAAGTAAAACGCCAGTGTGGATCCCAAGATGGTAATGGCCGTGATCCAAAAGAACGCGATGTCTAGAACTGCGGCTGCGTGATGCCAGTCATTGATCTTTGCATCTGACTCTTGCGTGTCTTTCAAATGAGAAACGATAGCACGCATGCCATAAACGATTTCTTCCATTCGCTCGTCCGATGGTGTGAGTGACAGGTTAGATCCCAAAGGTGACGTGTGGAAACATTTGCTGTCAGTTTCTGTCTCGCCTTTCTTTGGGCTCGCTATCTTTGGCATGGAAACTACAAGATGATTCTGACTGCGGTGGATTTCGTAAGGATTTCCCTGCACTTTTGTCACGTAGAAATTCTTGCTCTTGTCGTCTCGTGCCATCTTGGCTCGTTCCTCTGACGGCATGGCTAGCAGCATCGGGCCTAAGATATCAAAGATGAGCTTGCGGAACCAGGCAGGCATCTTCCTCTCTGGATCACGGTGATAAACTCTCAGAATAGAGCACGTGATAACTAGGGCAACCGTGACCTGTACCAGGACTGTAACCGAGTATTTACCAATCAGTGGAGTCACCTCCGAGGTACGCGGCACGTTCTCTGTGAAAACCATCATGAACACGGTCAATCCCAGGAGAATGGTTATGACCAGGCCCATGCGCTCACCTGACTCAGGCGGCAGATAGAACGAGAAAACCGTCAAGACCGCCAAGACAATGCACGGAATGATGAGGTTCATCATGTAGAAGAGCACTCTGCGTTTGACATGGATTGTGTATGTGATGTCGATAAAGGGATGGGGGCAACAGCTGTAGAGTTCCTCATTGCGCTTCAGAGGTGCATCTAGTAATTCCCACTCGCCGCTGACAGTGTATTTTGAGAGATCTGCGGAGTCACGCTTTTTGGTAAGGTTTAGCTTGTTACCTATTTTGCAAAGAAAGAAAAAATAAGTTGCATTTTTTGTGTAAGCTTTTATCACACTGTGATGCAGAGGCAGATATTTAGCTCACTTTGAAGCCAGACGAAGTTTCATGGATTATTTAGGGAGGGGAGGGACACAACAAATATGATGGAATGGAGCGCTGAGCGTCATGTTGATTCGTTAGCATTTCTTTTAAAATATCTTTACGTATTTTAATAACGTGTGCGAGAGTTCTTTCTCACGCTATTGTGTAAAACCTTGGCCAAATTGGGAAAATTGTTTTCGCAATTGCAAGAACCACCTGCCACCCACTCTCCCCTCCCCTACAAAATCCCACACAATCCCATAAGTGCTCGCGAGTATACGTTTTCGGCTCCAGGCCAACACTTTCGAAAAGACCCATCGAGCGCGAAGGTCGCGCTAAATTTAAAATTGCTGCTGAGACCTGGTTATTTCGAAAGAGAAACAAAGAAGCTAACTCCACGGACAACTTTTGTTCATCAATTTTGCATATAGAACGGAGAGAAACTTAATGCCTGCCATGTTATCGCACGGAGGGGAAACAGTTAGCCAAGGACATAGCATGAAACCAAGATGGCCGCTATAAAAGGTGAGCTGAACTGAGTTGCAGAAGTGAGATTTGACAATAATGGTTACTTTTTTTATTTCGGACAAACGTATCTAAGGATAACGCTCACTCAAACATTCGGGATTTCTAGGGAAGTAAATTTTTGGCATAACATGTAAGCTTACATGTTACGTGCTGTTTTAGGGCACGGAAATATTTCCTATAGCGAAGATATTAGTGATATCAACTGTAGTTGTTCATGTGCCAACGAGAGAGCTATTGGTTTGTGAAACAAAGAGTTCTTTGGTATAACGTATTTTACATTAAGATAAAAAAAAAAAACAGATGCAAATGATTTGTTTTGAATAATCACATTGCTGATTATGGTGTTGTTAGGTTGTATCACAAACAGGATAGTATGTGTAAGGGTCATAACAAGGTACAAAACAAAACAAAGCGAAAACATAGATATTTAATCCTAACACTCGAAAAAGTGTGGCAGAGGATGGCATGGTGCATGGTTTGAGTTTCTCAAAACCTCAGTGTCGTCTTCTTAAGACAAGTTGTATTGCATTATCCTCACCTGTATAAGTCCAGGAACCAAACACAAGTGGACAGGTCTGCTCATCAAATGGGAAATAATTAATATTAATCTTGCAGATACTGTGAATCTCTGTCGGAGCAAACCATTCGGTATAACCATTGTATTTCAGCACTGCCTTTGTGTCAAAATTATATATTGCACCTGTTTCACCAAAACCAATACTTGAAAGCAAAGTAAAGATGGAGAATATTATTAGTAAAAATTGAAAATTTGACGAGGGGAGTTACATGTATTTTATTAGTATGGGACATTAAAATCAACAAAATATTATAGGCAAAACAGACAATGACTAATTGATACTAATGCTCTAAATTAAAGCTAAATTAAATAGAAACAAAATACGAAACAAAAATTATAGTTTTACTTCAAGTCAGATGTTTTGTAAGTAATTTGTTATTGGTATCATGACTGTGCTTCAATTATTTGAATGAGATGTGTCTTTTGATCATAGATTTATTTTTAGCTTTGGTGTATACTCGTATAGATCTATACTCTGTGAGAGATTCAGTTCCAAGTACCAGTTATATTAATTATTAATAAAGAGTTACATAAACATTCTAATACCATTTTTTGATTGACTGCCATTTTTTTGGCAAGAAAAATTGTTTTCACTTTCATCATGCCTGTATCTGTGTTGATCACGAGGAATACTGTTTGGTGATGACAATAAGAATTTGATATGAATTTTACAGCTGGCAAGTTTAAGTTTCATGTTCAACTACAGCAGCCTTTATTCATATTTACATCAGACTAGTTAAATTTATCTCCAATCCTTGCTTTTGAAGAATGAACATGCACATTTTCAATTTGTCATGATAATAATTATTATTTGAACTCCAAAAGCAGCAAAGATGAAAAGCACACCTTTGTCAAAACATATACTAGTTACATAGTATTTCAGGGCTTGATGGTAAATTTTGAGCAATTGAGATAATCATTTATAAAGCCTACTTCTGGAGCTCTTCTAAGCTTACTTGTTGTAAAGGATGATATCTGGTTTCCAAATCAGTTTTGGGTCAATATTGATATGTTCAATCCCACCATATTTCTTAGGATCCCATTTTAGGTATGGGTTAGTCCACATCTAGGAAGAAATGAGAAAAAACAACTGTAAACAATACGATGTACCTCTGTGTTATTAAAAGTTCTACAGTTTCTTCAAAGTTTTATTGAAAAAAGAAGTGTTTCATGTAACTGAATTGAAAGTGTCTTTTCATGCAGGATAGGTTAATACAGTACTTCCTAATCACCTTAGTTTAACCTGCACAAGATGGTTGGCCACTCGAGGAAAAGGGATGGGTGTGTTAGAAGGTTTTTTTTTGTGTCAATCATTTTCTCACTTAATTGTCTTTTAGGGGAGTTATGTTCTGGCTATCAGTTTTTGAATTGATAGAACAACTTCAATTACATGTACATGTACAGCTTGTATTATATAATTGAAGGATTTAGAGCATGTCTTCTCATGAAAAAGGGCATGTATCGCTTTTTGGGTGATATACACCCTTTTTAGACGAAATCCTTCAATTATAATATTATTATGATATATATCAATATGAACCTTATGTAATAGATTTACATTTTAAACGCTCTTTACCATTGTATATTGTATAATTATACATGTACATTATACATGTATGAGAAACAGGGTAGTTTAAGTATTGAAGGGGTATGAAATTATAGTGGTGTTCCTTTTGTTTATGTTCTGGTTGTTTTCTTCAGGGTAATAATTATGGTTTCTTTTGCACCCTTGCGTCACATTATTTCTTCAGTACAAACTTTAAGGCTTTTTAAGAGTTTTAGTTGTTTTGCTTTTTATTCATTTTCATGCTACTTTGAGTCACTGTGATTAAAACTTCTTACTTACTTATGCTGGACTAAAAATTCATTAAAACAGACCAAAAATTCCATTTATTTCCACTTGTTGAGTCATACAATTAAAATTGAGTCTTTTATTGTTTGCTTTTTTACTTAAGTAGGATAAAGGATTATTTTGCTTTTAAAATACGTGTAAGTACACTGTACACTGTACCTGTCTCAACCATACTTTACTGGACAGTATTTGATTTTTGCTATCCTGTTGAAAAAAAAGGAAGTACAATAATTCTTGATGCATGATGCATTTGTACTGAAAAGTGTTGTACTTAAAAGTCTAGGGTCCATCTCAGTTCATATAACTGCACACTTTCATATTTCATGTATTTCTATGTCACATGCTCACAACATGCGGAACATTTCATAATTAACTTCTTGTATCGTAATTTCTTATATTATAAAGAAGTGCTTTCTAAGTATCTGCACTGTAGGAAACGAAAACAAAAAAACAACTGATTGTAAAATCTACTTCTTATTCACATGTACACAACAGGTTATTTTGTGTGGCCACCATGTTGGTGCTCCTATCGGAACAAAACTTAGAAAACTATCATTTTGCAGAAGTCCAAAAACAAATGTTAAACAGTGCCAGAGGAAAGAGCTTTTCAGTGACATTTGGGTTCAATAGGCCTTTTGCATCATTGGTCACGACTTACCTTCCGTGAAAATAAAAGTAATCCACTTTTGAGAAATAACTTTATCAGGAATAGGAAGGTTGTACAGGATAAGCTAACATGTACATTGGTGAGGGCATTTTTATGGCCGTTTGAAATTAGAAGGATTTGTGTGGGATGAGCAAGCCTTGCCAACTTGTGATACTCTGTTGCCTTACTTTAAACATTTGCACCTGCCGTAAAATCTATTTCTCTCAGGCTTGTCTTATTATGGAAAATGTATTGCGATTGAAACGCCTTCACACTTACACACAAAAAAACCTCAAACCGTCCAAAAAGGCTTACCGTTATGTGTGAGAAACTGATTGGCATGCGGGCGTATTAAAACATCCTATTCCTATTTCTAGAAATCATTAATTATCACGTGATCAGTTATCTCCAAAGACGTTTTGGATAGTCAAAAGAGACAGCTATCTTAACTAAGCGCGGTAAAAAGTACCTCGTAAAAAATAATTATTCTCAGTGCATGGCCTGCCGTATACATTATAGTATGATTTGATCAGTAAGCGCAAAAGTTGGAACCATATTTCTTAAGTCAAGATTTGCCTCTATCAGGGGTTTTTCGTTCGTTTTTCACACGTTCGTACATAATTAACAATCACATTTTGAAAAGATATCTCGTCAATATGTGAGTCCATAGTTTCCTTACCAGGTATATAAGTTGACTATACGCCATATCGAACATGACTTCAATCGCCTCTGACTTGTTCCTTACGGGCAAGGCTTCTTTGCTGTAGCCACTGAATAAGTCATGAAGTAGCCTATGTTCGAAATCTTCGCTGTGATAACCTGTGGGTAAAATGAACAAAGTAAAACATCATGGACTTCAGGATTTGTTCACATTCGCCGAAAGTCGTATTTTCCTTTGGTCTGAATTTTCGTTCGTATTGGCAAAAGCTTGTGACGTTTCCTTTCGTTCTGAGAATTCGGCAAATGTCGGCGATAATTCGCGGAGAACAAAGACAGAAATTCGTTGGAATTCGTTTGCAGTACTTTTGCATAGTACCGTAGATACAACAAATGAACAAAGCCCCATTTTTATGAAACTTATATATCCAGACTTTTGTTCGTAGTACATTTTTGTTTCGGCTTCAACACAGTTGATACTCTGATTGTAAGTGTTCGGTGCATTCTTCTTTACATACTCTTTGTATGTTAAGAGCGCTAGCACGTTGAGGTTAAGATATTTGCGAAAACAGTTAACGCGCATCTCACAGACTAAGGTGTGCATAGTACATTGTTCAAGCGGGATAAAAGAGAGGTTCTAGTCTTAAGCAAAATTTTTTGGAGTGCATGTAGCGAAACAAAATGGCTTGAAGTATCAAGGGATCCATTGTTTCTTAGAACGCACGGCTTCTAATAACTGTCTATTTATTGCTATTATTGGGACAAGATTAAAATCTTGATAGTTTACCTAAGCTTCTTTGTCTTTCACTTTTATTGGCGATTATCGCTCCAGAGAATAAGAAACAGACAAAATGAACCTCGATTTATCTCGGCCCGACTGTCGAAACTAATTACTTATGATTGTTGTAAATCGTTTTTTCTTTCCCGGCTGTGACTACATCTCTATAAATGCGTCATTGCCATTTCTGTTTTATTATTCTATCGTGTTGACCCATTTTTTTGAGGTTTATTTGACTTAAAACCTATTCCGTATGGAACAGAATCGGCTAAAACCTGTTTTGGTGACACTCAGTGTCCCATTTGAAGGATGTTTCTTACAACAAAGTCATTGTTTGCAACGCATTTAATTACCTTGAAATAGACGGAAACTTGGAAATGATAGTTATATAATTACAATAGACCGACACCAAAGAGATAATCAAACCAAACTAGAATAAGGATGGCTAAGTTTGGGCAAGATTGAGACGATTTAGAACCCTGCCGGGCTAAACGTTCAGTCTACTGAGATGCAAAAAAAACAGTTTTCATTGCCGGGAACTGAGCCTTGGCACAATGTCAATAAGAGTGATAAACGATTTGAGTTCATTCAACATGGTTCAATATGGGTCAGTGCCACTTAATGATTTTAAAATTAGAACACGAGGGCTTACGGCTGGTACTTCTATTCTTGGTTTCTTGCTGCATCACAGTTGGTGACTTAAGTGGATTATTGTTCACAAAATTCACAAATATCGTCTTATTGGTGAACCTAGAAAAAGACTATGAGTTACAAAGGACTGTCAAACCATGGTCGGGAATTTGTAAAAAACGAACAATAAATCACGCCAAACAAATTAGTAATTAGCAATTTGTTATTCGAGTTTTCTTTAAATTCTCCAATTGGTGTATGGATGCTGTGGTGACATCCATATTTGAGTCTCTCATGACGGGTTGACCGGCTTGAATCTGGAACATGACATTCAGTTAAGAATTTCTGAAGTATAATACAGTCATTAGTATTGAGGATGCATTTAAACTGATTAAATCTATCTTTAAACTTGTTCATGCAAGATGGCTGTTAGGAATGAAAATGCTCAACAGCTCCTCGAGCGAGATCGAATATTGTTTTGCATTCTTCTGGCTGTGTCAGTGAAAGTTGAATGGCCTTGTTTTGTCATCTTGTTAGCGTGTTAATAACTTAGTATGTAATAAAATATGAGGCTACCTGTGAAAAGATACAAATGTGGTATTTGTTATGTCTGTGTTAGCGAGTTTGCATATAAGCGAGCTAATGTTTGCATGGAAACGAATGGTTTATACGTGCAAAATGGCAGCGAAAAGTCAGGGATGGCTTTTTTCTTCAGTGTCTTGTGAAACTTGGTGTTATCTGTGTGTATTAGTTTGTTATTTAATGGTCGAGAAACGTCTGTTGTTGAACTAAACAAAACATTAGCATTAACGAAAGAGTGATCAAATTAACGATGAATGTACAACAACGGTCAAATGAACAACAGATCTTTCACTCCAAAACAATCTCAGTTAAACAGTGGATAATCACGAACATCAAGTCGAACCGCAAACGACAAAGAAGAAAGCAAGCTAAAATTAGGGATTGTGAATAGATGATAATGATGTGCCTACCTTGTGATTTTACAACCTCTAATAAGAGAACAATGAGTGTTACGAGGATCATGAAACAACGCCGTGAATCAGGAGCGTCCATAACGATTCCGGAGCGCATCGTGCTTCAACGTATATCCAATGCGTCGAAGTTTGACTCAGGGACAATTCACATTCTTTTGTATGTAAATTTGCTCTTCTGACGACAGGAGATGCATTGTGGAATACCCTGTCAGCGGGAATACTTGGTTTCGTTTGATTTACGCCCAAAAAGAAGAATTTAATGAAATAAAACAAATTAGCAACTCTTGACAGGTTTTGTTACCAACAGAGCTTGTAATCAAAGGTCGCACTGTTCATGTGATGTGAGCGTACTTGTATTATTGTGTATTATCTTGACTATTTATTCAGAACTGTTGGCTTTTTACACCTTTTACTTAGGTTTACAAAGTTACACTGCTTTTGAACGAATTGCTTTTTTGAACCCTACAGACATGGTTGTGGTCAAAATGCTTACTCCATAGTATTGTGTTACCACATGCTACACTTTTCCTTACAATGCTGGAACCCCTGTTAACGTACATGTATTAATTAACTGAATCATTTGCTTTCTGTGCCACTGCTTCGCATCGTGTTTTCAAAAAGAATATCCCCAGGGAACATGGCATGGTCACTAGAGGTCTTGTTTATTCGCAAATTTACAAACCATTACATTAACACGGCTCTAAGATTCTTCATGAAAAGTTCAAAACAGCTTTAATGAACAGGTTCTTTTGTGCGAAGAAAATTGTTAAGTGGAGCCTTTTCATCAGTGGAATGTCTCTATTGTCCAAGTTTGCCAGCATCACTCAGCCAAACAAATTTAATTGAATAGACTCACAATAGACGTTTTTGCATACGTCACCTGGGTTCAGCTGCTGTTGTTTTAGTCCTCGTGCATTTGTTATTGAAAGTTATTAATACCAGTGAGTTTGATCATAATGACCGTAATCAGGAAATCATAAACAAAGTGCTGGTGACTTTAGGTCCTATTTATAGAAGCATTTTGATGCGTTGGTGCATATCATGTGATATACCGCGAGCAGATCGCTCCTGCCTCCTGTTAACTGAAAATTATAATTGGAAATTGCGAGGATTTCGTTGATTGAACACACCGGGTAGGAATTTAAAGTGCGTGGCAATTTTTGGCGCGTCCATACACCGAAAAAAGCCATAGGCAACTGAAAATATAAAGCGGAAACTGGCGGTTTTTAAATGTGACGTGGGTTCCCTGTTAGAATATCTCTGTTCTTAAGGAAAAAAAAAGTAATTATATGCCACCTCTCTCTTTACCAAAAAAAGAAAGAGGTATTATATTTAATTTGGAGTATTGTACTGATTGGGTAGCAACCATGGATATCGGCATGATGCAAAGATTCTAAGTTCTTGAAGACCAAGCATGTTAAGCCATGTAACCACGTAGTGATACTTCTGACTTTGTCACAACATGGCTAAACATGTTTCATTCCATCATGCCGATAACAAGCCAGTACCCAATCTATTTACCTGCACTTTAAGCATGTAAAATGCAGCACTGAACAGTGCAAAATTGTAAACGTTTTAGTATACATTATGTCTAGTACTCCCAGGGTTGTTGCTTTTTATTTCAAGGGCTAGCCCTTTTTTCGAAAAACGTTTCTTTTCAGTGAAATATCATGAAAAAGTGTCCATACCACCGGCCCCACCGTAGTTAGTTGGGAATCATAGAGTAGAACGCCAGTTAACCAAAATTTTTACCCTAAGGTGGCTCCCTATAGTTTTTTGACCGAGCGCGAGCTGATTTCGAAAGACGTGCGATGACGCGAACTTTCAAACTCCACGCGAAAGTTGCGCGCGAGATTGCGCAGTAACATGCCGACAAACATGGCGTCCAAATTTTCAAAATTTGCTTATCGCAAAAGTTGCGTGGGTCGGCTCTGGTTTCAAAACATTTATCGTATGAATAGAAGACCCTACCTTTCTCTGCTTGATTTGAAAGAGAAATGTAGGGGGTATGTAGGAGTTTCAACCAAAGAAACTGATTTGTTCGATTGTCACGATCAGCGCAAGGAGCAAAACAAGGTAGAATATTACCACATGTATTTGCAGTCCTTGACGTTGTTTGTGGAGCAGACACAAATAACCAAGATACGAGGGATGAGGATTCCGCTAAACCTGGAATGAGTCAGGATGTTTTTCCCCTAACAAGTTTAGTCGTGTAACGAGCTCGCGGAGCACGAATTGACGCTTCGGAAATAGGAAATAACAAAACAACAATACAACAATCGAATTTGCTCATTTACAAGATGCTGGCCATACGATCTATAGGGTGAGAATTCCTTATTCTAAATTTTCATATCCAAAAATGGGTCGCGATATTGCCAAAAGTAGCTTTAAGGTAGGTAGGAAAGGGCATACGAGATTAACATGATTCTTCTCCCTCTCAAACGCGCCTATGACGCCAGAGGGCCATTGATACGCATGCGCGCGTGGTCGTCTCGAGATTTTATGACGTCACAAAGTAGCTAATTTGGTGAAATCTTTTGAAAGTTTGTATACTTCATAATATAGATGCCTACTTTACAATATCATTTTTTGACAAAATTTTATCTAGGGCTTTCTCTTGTTTGATCAAAAATAAGAAAATTTAAGATTTTTACGAATCTACCAGATAAACTTTACATTTCTTCAAATTAAACTATTGTCCGAAATCGCTTTCACTAGACTGCCGAGTATGAAAATATTTTACCGAGGGTAAATCTAGAAAGAGAAGCGAATAGGTGGAAAACAGCAAAAAAATGGTTATCTTTATGATTAGTTGTTGCCATGACAACAGTCTGGGATACGCTTATGTGAACGAAAAATAAATCCCTGGTCTGTTGCTAATCTTCACTTCGAATGCCAGGAGCTTAAACCCAAAGTTCAGTCAAATAATTCATTTTTAGCTCTTCATCTTTCTTCAGGTGTAGATACTGTTAATACTGTAGGGAGCCACCTTAAGGCAAGAACTCTTTGGAAAAAAAGTGGTTTGCCAAGGAGCTTCCCCTTGTAGTTACTTTGGAATCATAAAGTAGAACGCCAGTGTGGATCCCAAGATAGTGATGGCCGTGATCCAGAAGAATGCGATGTCCAGAACTGCGGCTGCGTGATGCCAGTCATTGATCTTTGCATCTGACTCTTGCGTGTCTTTCAAGTGAGAAACGATAGCGCGCATGCCAAAAACGATTTCTTCCATTCGCTCGTCCGATGGTGTGAGTGACATGTTAGATCCCAAGGGTGACGTGTGGAAACATTTGCTGTCGGTTTCCGTGTCACTTTTCTTTGCGCTTGCGATCTTTGGCATGGAAACTACCATATGATTCTGACTAGGGTGGATTTCGTAGGGAAGTCCTTGCGCTTTCCTCATGTAGATATTCTTGTCCTTGTCGTCTTCTCTCATCTTGGCTCGTTCCTCTGACGGTATGGCTAGCAGCATTGGGCCTAAGATATCCAGAATGAGCTTGCGGAACCAGGCAGGCATCTTCCTTTCTGGATCACGGTGATAAACTCTCAGAATAGAACACGTGATGAGTAGGGCTACAGTAACCTGCACCAGGACTGTCACCGTGTATTTGCCAATGAGTGGAGTCACCTCCGAGGTGCGCGGTACGTTCTCTGTGAAAACCATCATGAACACAGTCAAACCCAGGAGAATGGTTATGACCAGGCCCATGCGCTCACCTGACTCTGGCGGCAGATAGAACGAGAAAACCGTCAAGACAGCCAGGACAATGCACGGAATGATGAGGTTCATCATGTAGAAGAGCACTCTGCGTTTGACATGGATTGTGTATGTAATGTCGATAAAGGGATGGGGGCAACAGCTGTACAGCTGCACATTGCGCTTCGCAGGTGCCTCCAGCAATTCCCACTCGCCGCTTACTGTGTAGTCGAGGAGATCTGCAGAGTCACGCTTTTTGGTAAGGTTCAGCTTGTTACCTAAAAGGTTAAAAAACGACAAACGTAGCTTAACTCACTTTGATTAAAGAATGCGGATAGCTCGGAGCCTAAGTGGCAGCGCGTGTGCGAAAGGGGGTTATTTTCGGTGCACTGAAGCTCGAAATGAAATGAAACGAAATGGGAAAACCGGAAAATGTGATGTTGAGTTCAGATTCATGTATCATTTAGTTTCGGTCGAAAGTCAACTGGATCGGGAAATTTCCAGAAAATTCTTTCGGAAATTGTGGACAACCTCCAGAGGTACTTCTCTTTTCTGTTTTGAACGGCATATGAGAAATTTCCTTTCCATTTGCGCATTTCTTCATTTAGTTTTCAGTCTTCCATCGACGGAAATCAATGATCGAAAACCAAATTATAAATGTAAGCGGCATCACTTTCGGTTGGTTTGTTAATTTTGGAAAAAGAACTTACTGTCAGTCACTGTCATTCCGACCGGGTGCTTCCGACACACATATTCAGACGCACACATATATTCAGCCGCTGTTCCTTGACGTCGCTTATCGAAACATGCTATTTGCGGCGAAAGCTTTTATTTCATGGTATACTGTAAAACGTAACATTTGAGACGGAGTTCTGGAAACTGCTCGTAAACGCAAATGCCTTGAAATTGTTTTCTTACTAGATGGGAAATAACTTTCATCCCAAAGCATTACATTTTTACCTGTATAAGTCCAGGAACCAAATCGAAGGGGGCAACTCTGCTCATCAAAGGGGAAATAGTTAATGTCAATCTTGCAGATGCTGTGAATCTCTGTTGGAGCAAACCACTCAGTATATCCATCGTACTTCAACACTGCCTTTGTGTCAAAAGTATATATTGCACCGGTTTCACCATAGCCAATGCTTGAAAACAAAGAAAAGATATTTGTTATTAGCACTGAACAACTCGATATCCCTCAATGGTACTTGTTGTAATTTTCCTAGTAATTAATGAAGTCTTGGTGTCGTCAATCTAGGAACCAGACTTTATATGCCTGGTAACCTCTTGGGATGAAACCGTAATATTTCTTTTCAAAGGATCTTTTGGCGTTTCAAGTTTGACAGAGATACTGAAGCTGGCGATGCACTTGTCCGTTTCGTAAACGGTCGATGCCAATTTCGCGACAGGTTGTTCCGCCAAATCTCCGCAAAATTTAATGATAAAACGTGACTTTATTAAATATTAATGACAGAGTTGCCCCAACCATCAAATAAAAGCTAACCGCAAGCAAACCAGTGTGAATATGGACAATCAAGCATTTGACGAGTGCGTTTACTCAATCAACAAATTAAAACCAGTTTCTACCTTGTCCAGGCCTATATTAATGCAGATAGGGCATCGTTCATTCTGAAAGGCTTGGTTACCAATGATGGCATCGACCGTTAAAAATGGCATCGACCGTTTGCGAAACGGAAATCAGCGCTGGCGATCGAGTTCAAGTTGAACATTTTGACTGTAACAACCATTATTTGAATCGACATTTACGTCAGAATATACATCAGACCCAGCTAAATTCACCAGCAAAACTGCTGTCGAATTGCAAACGTGTTTTTTTAATCTTTACAAAGCTGCAAAGATGAAAAAAGATGAAAAGAATACCCATTTGAAAACAACTTGAAGCGCATATCAATTACGCCTAATTAGTGGGGAGGTTTGATCAAGTGATGGAATTATCGTAGCTTACTTGTTGTAAAGGATGATGTCTGGTTTCCAAATTAACTTTGGATCAATATTGATATGTTTAATCCCACCATATTTCGTAGGATCCCATGTCAGGTATGGGTTAGTCCACATCTAGGGAAAAAATGGACAAACAGAGCAATGGCTATATGTTAGTCAAGTACAGTTTTGTCAACATTATTTATTGAACATTTTATCAATAAGGTGTCATGTACAGTAACCACAAATTTTTATCACTTGAAGAATATTCGGACACTTTCGTAGAGTTCAAAGGGGTGGGTGTTGAGGAAAAAGTGATGGGAATGTTTGGGGACCAAACATGTTTTTCACTCAAGTACTCCTCTGGGGGTGATACCCCGGACATGACCTTTTGGGTAAGGTTTAAGTTAGATAATGAACTGCACTAACTTAGTTTGGCACTTACATTTTATATAACACAGTATTTGAGTTATCTATTCTCATTTAATTAATTTTGTTTCTATAAGTGTATGTATGTTGTGAGGTATGAAAATGACATTGTATGGGACGAACATGTCTGATATTATAATTCGTGTGATTGAAGTGATCTTGTTGGCACCTCAGGGCAAAATGAACTCTGTTTTGTCAATCAGGGAGAATATGTTTTCTCGATATATTCCGCTTTAAAATGTTGCTTTGAGATGTCGTGAAAACGGCTTCTTGGCTTTGCCCCTTGAATCTACAATAGCTTTAACACCAACAATGATTATGAAAATGGTCGAAAATGAATTACAATTAATGAACACTTGCAACTCACAGCACCGACTTGTGAAGTTCTGTAAAACTAAGTAGTAATTTGTTTGCGTTACATGCTAAAGTAGAGTAAACGTTTTTCTGTTACAATACATGTTAGTACACTGTACCTGTCGTAGCCACACTTTACTGGAAAGTATTTGATTTTTGCTATCCTGTTGAAATAGCAAAATCAGCAACAAGATACGTCCTCTACGTTAAGCTATAAATTCTACATTCATATCTGGTATATATGTTCAATCTCAGTTTGACACTTTTTGTGCTACGTTCCATTTTTCTGAAACGGCGACTTAAAAACAAGTTACAAGTGTTATTAGATTTTGTAGCTACGAAGGGAAACGGTAACAATCACAGAAAATGAGCTTCACCTTTGTGTATCCACTATGTTTCCCCGCCACCCCTCCCTCCAAGTTTCAAACATTTTAACAGACATGAATTTTGCAAAGCCTTGAGAAGCAAGCAGCACCAAAGACTAATTCTTCTTGGCTTTTATTTGAATGGTCAGACACTTTGGCCAAAGGCTGTAAGCATCTTTGAACGGCACTGCTTGTTTTTCATCCACAGACTCGAAAGTTTGAACCACGTCAATTAAGTGGAGGTTTAACTGTACACTGGGTTTGGGTCTTCCATTTCTACCTTGTGACAATACAACCCTGTAAACGAAGTTTCCTTACCAGATATATTAGTTGACTATACGCCATATCAAACATGATTTCAATGGCCTCTGATTTGTTTATTACAGGTAGGGCTTCCTTGCTGTAACCAGTCTTGAATAAGTCATAAATCAACTTGTGCTCGAAATCTTCTCTGTGTTGACCTACCAATAGGTAAGTGAAACATGTTTTGGTCAACGGCCATGACCAACTGCTAAGGCTAATGTTCAGTACTTCATGAATGCGAGATGATACTGAATTATTAAAAATAAGTTAGTTCTCTTGAAAGAACTTTCTGGCTAAGGAGTTGTCGAAGCGCACCAAAAATGACTTCAAAGTGGACCAGGGGGCATTTGCAAACTGAACAGAATGTTCAGGGGAACATGCATGTCGAGGAACTAAATAACTAAAAAGTCTCGTATCGTGTAAGTCTACCACTTTTACAAAAGCCTGTAGCTATGCCTCTTGAACCCTATTATAAACAATTAAGTATGAAAAAAATATGAAAATAATTAGTCAGGTGCATACCCAAAGGGAAACAAAGTGCTATAAAAGACAAAGTGCGAATCGTTTGGGTTATTGGGATAACCATTATGAGAATATCATTGCATGGCCATTGTATCGTAGGATATGGATAATAGGGTCTATATATAGAGTCCACTTGACTGTTAATTTTATCGACGTTGAATGAGCAATGTAGCGTACTTCAATCTTGGTGTCTATGATTTGTATCTATGTCTAACTGGGTCTTTTTCACCGACCTGGTTGAACTTGAGTAGCTTTTTATTATGAAGCTGCACTTAGTAACGTAAAAATAACCTGCTGAAGAAGTATAAATATCCTCCAATATTTGTATAAAGAAGAATTACTTAACAGATTATCCAAACTACTATTATTCCTTCTGACGCGCTAAGAAAGTCCAAAGCCTGGTTTTCAACATAGTAAAACAATGGGTTACAAATCACTCGCTACAACATCAGTAAGCGTTGTTTATAAATATTACCGAGTCTGGTTTTCTTTTTTTGCTGTTCTCTTTTTCATTAAAATTAATTCTGAATAGCTATTAGTGGCTAACTCGAAAACCTTGCGGTTCCCTTAGCCTCTAAGCTCCAATTAACAATCGTTCATTTCCTTATTATTTGGTTTAATCAATTTGTATTGTGTATAATGCTTCTCCTGTAATTTATGTAAGCGCGAGTCAATAAATATTACTGTTACTGTTACTGTTATTGTTAGAACTGCATATTTGGTAGTGGTTATTTGTATATTTTGACTCCCAGCGGGCTCGAGAAAACACTACACCCTTACCAACAAACATGCAATGGCCACTTACAACATGTTGCGTGATCAGATAAAAATGATGTTTAACGGTAATGCTTTATTTTAATAGTATTAAAGATGAAAATCATGCAACACGAAGAATTATATATGCGTGAATAGGAGCAAACTGAGGTGTTTTAAGACTCTTGAAAGAGTTACAGATGTAAGCAGTCGCAAAAGTAGCGAAGGTTCTCTTTAGCGCCACGAGAAATGGGGCAAGTGTGAATTATATCTGTTTGTTTTGTGGGCGACAAAGATGTGTTATTGCCAAAACAAACCGTCAGCACTAACGAAACTTCGATCAAGTTAAAACATTGTTAGAATGATCAGTAGACAATGTAACTCCAAAACAGTCCTCGATAACTGAACGATCGTGAATATGTAATGCAATGACGAACCCATGTATTAAAACGAACAATGGAAATGAACTACAAAGGATCAATAACTATCATAATGATTGGTCTACCTTGTGACGTTACGACTCCCAAGAGTGCTGGGAGTGCCCCGAAGACCACATAACATCGCCATAAATCGCGAGGGGCCATAACGAACCAACAGTCCATGGTATTACTGTAGATCACTTGTTTTCCAACATACATATAATGCGGCTGAACAAGAGAGTGAAAGTTCACGTTCTTTTGTATCAAAATGTTATCTTGATCTTAAGCAGTGCCAAGCAGATGTCTTCTATTAATAACATTGCATCAGAGGGAAAAGATAATTCGGTTCTGTTCTACTTCAAGATAAACGTTTTGCACTTTCAGATAGCGTAAACAACGAGAACATCTAGGTGAATCCCGGGGTGAATCCAATGTAGGGAAGGAGATTCTTCTCTGTATTATAAACAGTCGAGATAACGGAGCTTGGCAGTCCTATATTTCGCGGTGTAGTGGGTGACAGATCGATGATAGGCTCGTTTATTTGAACGATAAGGAGCATATCAACTTAAATATTCACATCCTGCAAAACAATTGTTATTCCATCGTCACTGAATAGTTTGGATTTTTTGTAATTGCTAACCTCGTTTCGTGCAAGCTGGAACACATCTGTGTAAACAGTTGCAAACTTTAGTTTGTTTCGTGCCAATTGGCTTACAGAATCATGGCTTACTGATAACTGTGTCAACGTATATGAAATTTCACTGGTCATTTATAGATAAGAGATCATGGCGAAATGCCCAACGTCTCTGACTGATTGTTGTGCATATCGGTAGCGTGTCAATTTCGATAGGAACACGCCCCTTAAAGTGGCGACCACCCGGAAACATCACGATTATTCCCTTTCCAATCGCAAATTAACAAACGCACGCACGTAACAATCGTCTCAGAAAGTGAAGTAACAGAAAGTGAAGTAACAACTTCTTTCACAGTAGTTTAGAGAAGCAAGACCAGGTTGTTGTTGTGGTTATTGCTAATCTTCTTCTCTCAGGAGTAAAATTGGGTACTGCCGCAATGTTATCGCACGCTAGTCTGCGATGGACTAGCTTCTCATCCCGGGGGGAGTAGCACTATAGTCTATAGCTATAGTCTTTTTATGCTACGGAAACCGAAATAAGCTCCGGTACAGTGTACGCCTCTACCCAAGTTTGGTATTTAATTCAGGATTGGTTTTAGTCAAGCTTTGCTTAATACAGTCTTCATCCGTCAATCTTGACGAATTTTGACCATCCCTACGCCCCACCGATGACTGCTTAGCATTTGTTTTATGTTTTTCTACGGTTTTAAACAATTACGTTTCAATTAATTAAATCCCATTTACTGTTGTCGCAAAAGGGCGCTAGAGGTCTTTTTATACCATACAGACGAAACACCGTCACGCACCCCTATCTCGAGTGTTATTTACGTCTAAATTCATGTCTCCCTTTTAATTTGTTACTTAAAAATATCATCAGGTTTGTGGTGATTTTACATGTGGTACACTGACATTAAATCTTCAAATATTTTTTTTCCTGATTTTGCTCTAAGGGTAAAGAAGGGATAGACTGTAGAGACACCCTGCTTCATTGGATTTCTGGTCTGTTCGGCCATAATTATTTTTATTTCTTTTCACTGTAGATTAGGACCTTTCTGGTCCCCTTTCGACATTTTTGGGAGAAAAGTAAAGTGGTCCCTGCAATGGCCGCCCAACATAAGGTAAGTTTCGCCTTTTGGCGCTTTTGTGTAATCCTTTGACTTATAGTATCAATATTTAAGTCAAATATCAGGAGTTCAGAGGAAATGTCGCATTACATGCTTTTATTATTTGGTTACCTCCTTGATACCTCCTTGAGGAGGCAGGATGAACTAGATCCGACCCTTGGCAGAAGGGGCCATCTTGCGCGCTGTGTCCCGCCAGAAAAATGGCGTTCTTTGTTTCATGTAATAAATCCTTTATTGACTAAGCTTGTTCAGTTAAGATGGCTAGACATTGGCTTCGTATTTTTTTTCCCTAAAGACGTAAACAAGTACTTGGCCAATGTCCTTCTCATTACTTGACTTCGTCAATGACCCGTGTATATCTCCATTGTCAAGCAGTCAGCGAGCAACCAATAGCTAATATTACGATGTGTATCTGCTGAGGCGGTACATTAGAATGCCCTTTGCGAAATGAAGCGAAATGGCACAACATCACGCCAATCATTTACAGTTAATACATCGAAAAAGAAACGTCTTTATAAATGATTGGCTAGACGGATTAAGAGATGTTATAAGGCTGCTTGAGGGTGAAAATTGGACTATTTAGGACATTTAAAGTAATTTTATTTACTATTTGATATTCAATTCTATTAAAAATATGGCATGTGAGCCATTAATTTTGAATCTCGTCGTTATTATTATTATTATTATTATTATTATTATTAACTCGTTTGTAAAGACTGATCTCAGATTTAGTGTATAAGCGGTATATAGCAGACTTAACAGAAAAGTCTAAAAGTCTAACTGTAATGTAAGCATTGCAAAACGGTTTCACGTTTTCCCATTTAGCTGTTGTAATCTACTGGCCAATCTCATCGCGCTGCATTCTCTGGATGTTCGCATGCAGTTGATGGTCTCCGACACACGGTAAAGCAACGCCTTTCCTTCGAGACTAACGTGGACTGACCTCTTTGGTAACTAAGATCATCTAACACATACTAAATATCCTATCGAGGACATCCTTGTCTTATAAAAATTTCTGGCAGGTTTAATAAAGATTATATTTATCGAGAAAAACGTAATCCTCGTTGTAACATTGTGGCTAAAATCACAAAAGTACCACACGTTACCTATTGATATAAAGTGGTTCAAATATACAATAATTTGCATGCATATATTAGCTTTTTCCATTTTTTACCTTTAACCCACACATGTTGCATTTCTTTTGGTCTTAATTTTCCCATTTGGACTCCTGCCTTGATGCTGGCTACGATACTCCCGAAGGTTGAGTCACCGAGCCTTAAGAGGCTACTTATTATTACTCGCTCACTTTCTCTTTCTTTTTCTGTGATAGGGTTGACGCCCTTCCACTTCGGAGACCAAACTGCCCTTATTCAGCGTCTAGAAGTTACGCTCTTTCTCTGTCGCCTTTCCTTAATAAATCTCATTACTTGATTTTCTTACTTATAAAATGGAAGCCGTGCGGTTCTAGCACTTTGTCTTGTTTGCCTAGCTGTAGCATGTCTCTGGCTTTAAGCGCTTGGATTATGGAATCGTGAAGTAAAATATTGTGGTTGATATGACAAATGCCAGGGCCAGGGCCCAAAAGAAAAACGTGTCGAGCACTCGCGCAGCGAAATGCCAGTCGTTCCTGTTGAATTCGTTTGCTTTGACGTCTGTCAAGTGGTCAATGATGGCCCGCAAATTAAATGATATGTCTTCTAGTTTGTCTAATGAAGGGCACTTTAAAGTGTCTGACTGCCTAGAAATTCCTGAACTTATGTCGGTGATTTCGTCCCCCTGCCTCTCCATTTCCATTTTACAGTTGTTCTCCTTGGGGTAGCTGCCGAACAGCTTGCTTACGTATTGGTAAGGTCTGCTACGTCGGAAATGGTTTTCCTTTGTTCGCTCGAGGTGCTGCTTACAAAGGTGCCGATCCCGTTTACCTGCCGGCACAGGTTGCATCATGAGGACTGGAGCGAGTATCCGGTATGTGACGTAACGATAGAACGCTGGCATGGGTCTGGCGGGATCTTTATGGTAAATCCTCACAACAAAACACGTGATCAACAGCGAAAACGAAACCTCGCACATAACTGTGAACGCGTACTTGACAATCAGCGGAATGACTTCCGAGGTACGAGGGACATTTTCAGTGAATACTAGCATGAACACCGTCAAACCCAAGAGAATTGTTATGACCAGGGAAATCCTCTCGCCTGACTCTGGTGGTAGGTTAAACGAGAAGACAGTTAGCACCGCTAGTACAACGCACGGCAAAATCAAATTAGTCAAGTAGAACAGGACTTTGCGACGAACATGAATGGTGTACGTGACGTCAATATAGGGGTCTGGGCAGCAGCTGTACTTAACGACATTCCGCGCGGAAGGTACAGCGATTAATTCCCATTCACCGCTAACCGTGTACTTGCTCAGATCCGCGGTCGGCGCTTTATTCGAGAGATTCAAATGAGTTCCGGTGTATGTCCAGGAACCAAAGATAAGCGGGCATTTTTGTTCATCAAATGGAAAGTGGGTGATGTCAATTTTGCAAATGCTTTTTATCTCAGTTGGCGCGTACCAGGAGTGTCTTCCGTTGGATTCTATGACAACCTTTGTGTCGAAGTTGTATATTGCTCCCGTTTGTCCAATACCAATACTAAGGAAAGAAACAAGCAGATTATTTGAAATGGAAATATGTAAAGTTTTCGGATTCTGTCGCACACAAACAGGTTTAAAACTAGAACAGCTGGAATTGCATCTAAATACAGTCGAACTTGACAACGACACACTATATCAAGCCAAGTCGTTTACAAGAAGTTTGACCAGTGGGAGTATTGCTAGAGAAAGTTGGGATCTTTCATATTTTTAAGAAGGCTTGACAAAACTGTTGCACGAAGAGAGAAAAGAGAACCGATAGGGAAAGCGGAAGCAGAAGGATTGTGCATTGTAAAACTTCACAAGGGTGTCACATTGACCAAACTTTGACTTCTGTCTGGCCAAAAGGAATGTAAATGGCATGCAAATGGTTTCAGTAAGAATCTTATTGGCTAAAAGTGAAATAAGGTTATGAACTCACTTGTTGTACAAGACAAGATCTGGCTTCCAGACCGACTTGGGATCCACGTTGATGACCTTTATGCCGTTGTAATTTTCAGGTTTCCACGAAAGAAAAGGATTATCCCATTTCTGAAATATTAAGAAAACAAAAGGTTACTATTAGTTAGTGCGCTTTTATAAAGAATAGTGCGTAGTATGTACAAATTTCATCAAGATTTGTCTGTGAAATAACCATTTTTGGCAGCAATATGAATGATAATTTGTTCAAAATGATATGAATGATGAATTGGTGTATTTTTACTGTGACGTCATTTGACTGCAACAACTGGAGTCGGAGCTCCTGCCCCTATATTCTCTGGGAGGAATGGAGACGACTGGAGAGAGCGGCGGAAATGAGCCTTGCCAGGGTCTTCCGGTCTTCCCTTTTCACAAAGCAGAAAAGTACGACTTTCCTGTAGTATAGTCCTGGGACTTCCTGTGACGAACACCTCATCAGACTGGCAAAGGCAGTCTTCACTTAAAATAAGCTTCTTTCTTGATAACCTTTATATATTTTATTCAATTTATTGAAGGTGTCTTACCTGTCGAATCCATATCTTGCTTGACAAAATTTGATCCTTGCCATCCTGTGAATTATGCAATTTCATTTGTAACACATTCTCAAAATGTCCACTTTTCACTGCTTTTGTTTTACCAATGTAAATGTTAATTCTCCTAAGTGTTCTCCGGATAGTACTTATTCTTCTAGGTAGGAGAATTAATCGCTTATCGCGACAATGTTAGTGATCATTTTTCCATACTCTATGCAATAGTTCGTTACAGTTCCTTGCACAGGACATCTTTCCTTCAGAACATCTAGTGCTTTGTATGGTTCTGATCATAAATTCCGTCAGACGAGTATTACGTGGACGTTGCGTTTTTTTGCTGCCGATATACTGATTTACAGCTATACTGTCCTGACAACACCTCTTAGTTTTATATACCCAACGCAATAAATCGTGTAATGCTATAGATATCCATGTTTGATATCGTGCAAGATGAGAAATAAGAAAGGAACCAATTTTACTTCCCTCATCACTGTATCCGTGTGATTTCCTATAGCTGTTGAATTTGATACATGCACAGTCAAGTCCTGTTTCAGCGCCATCTTATTATGTGATTTTGAGATAAGAGAGTCATTTATTGCCATTGCGGTGACCGCGTTAGTGGGATATTTTGGAAAAGCTCGGCCTGAGGTTCGAACGTTATCAATCATTTGTCAACTACAAAGCAAACTTTTAAATAATTACAAGAACAAAACGGTAGCAATGGGAACAAAACATGTTAAATTTGTAACTTTGCATTAAAATTACATTGTGCCATGAGATGGCCAACCTTTCTCTTACTTCATCAACAGTGTACACTATCATTTGTGAAAAATGAAGGCAAATGGCGTACTCAGGTTTGCATTCAAGATTATGCCTATGTTTGTTCGACTATATGTGAAGTAGAATATGTTCCGTGTTCTTATTAATACACTTGCTGATAAATTAATCATCACGCTTCCATTATTCCTTGTAGATATTTCCCACAATGAAACCACTACGCATTGCATTTTAAAACATAATTGATATTGTTTTTTTTTTTTACCTGTTCTATAGCTTTGTTTTAGCACATTATATGAATGCCATTATGATCATTGCATAAATATATATTGACAATCTCTTTTTCAAGCTTTTAAAACCCCCAGTTGGGGGCAAAGTATTCGACAGTCACTGACTTCAGGGCCATTCTTTGATAACAATAACAAATTCCTGTTCATGTGCATGTATCAAAGAAAGCTTGTTCATTTGGTTAAAAGCCTACTTTGGTCGAGTGGTTACTTTTTAAAATAGCGCTGTAAAACCTAATGTACAAAGATTTTTGTTTAAAATCTCCTACCAATTCAACCAGCTGGCTAAAGGCTATGTCTAACTCAACATCCACTGCTTTGCTTTTGTTGAAAACTGGGCGGGAGTCCTTGTTGTAGTCCTTGAATAGGTCTCGCATCAGTCGGTGCTCAAAATCGTCGACATGGCTTCCTAGATATCAAATTTTATAATAAGTCAATATGAGGTTTGTACAATGCAGCTTGAGTCATTAATAAGCCGTAAGTTTTATGAAATCATAATCCCAGTTATAAAGAAGCGGCGTCTGTCCTGTTGTGCTTTTACGTAATCAAATGGGTGGGTGCACAATGATCTCACGAAATATGAATGCACAGTGTTGAGATCACGAAAGATTGATCCACTAAAAATTTCACGTGCTTACAAGAGTTAAAGTAAATCAAAGAAATACAATCTGAAGTAGACTGGCAGCTTTACAGACAAACGTTTATAGATGTATTATGAATGCCAATAATCAAGTCAATAGCTAATGTCAGTATTTTAAGACGTCGTGCTGTTTTGTTGCCTCGTTCTTCAAGATTTACGTAATTGTGAATGCGTTACTCAAGCAGCGATGATACACACAGACCACACTAGCAAGTGAGACAGGTGCACATAAACATGTCAACATTCATAACCTGCCACTGGATAACAACATATTTGATTGTATAATAGTCCAGTTACAATTACAAGGTTGATCGTTCCACTTGAAGCTAAGTGCTCATGAAATATATCCTACTATCGGCTTTCGAATGCGTTCTTGCGAATCCCATGAAACAAGGAATCTGTCGTTTATTTAGCTCGATGGCTCTCTGCATACTCGTTAAATTTTAAGACGATAATGTATCGAGCTGATTATTTCTGACGAATGATGAGTGAATACTCGTGGAAATTAACTCGAGCGATGTTGACAAACGTTCGTAAACAAATGTTTCCTGATAGGAGCACACGTCTGGGAGGTAGCTTTAGGTACCCTTTGTTCTCAGGTTTAGAAAGTTTCAAGAGTAGAGCAACGTGACATTCAGCGCTGTTTTCAAAGGAGAGATAGCTTAAAGAGAACCTAACAAAAGCAAGTGTGTAGTTAGACGTGAAATAACCCAGGGTTAAGAATTCAGAAAAAGGTAGCCATGAACTGACCACCATCATAACTTGGTTTTGTAAAGAACTTTCAAACCGCCACCTAAGAGGTGATAAAAATCTCGTGTTTGCTGCTATGTCCAGCTTCCCATTTAGAACAATTCCAAAAAGATGGAGGTTTTCTTAAAAAAAAGCAGACTGGATGCTTAAGGTATCAGTATAACCCATTTGACCATCCGCGCGCGGTCCGCTCTAGCGTTCGTGGCTTTAACAAAAACCCATATAAACCGTATATTTACTGGAAGCTTAATAACTACAGATTATGACCTGACCTGTTTAAAACGGTAAAAATTTACCGTGTTTCGAAAATGTGAATATATTTACAAAACTTCACGAACCCATAAATCAAGGTATACGCCCGCTAAATTTAGGTCGGAGAAAACGATTAACATGGCATCCGTTTCTTCACACATCGACCTCAAAAACCGTGTCTCAGATTTTTGGCACGTGCGTTTGTTATTATTTTACAAGAGGATAAAGTTAGAAAAAGGAAAAAAATAGGACTGCCCGCGAAAAAAAGGCATAACTTTTTAATGAAAAGAGTAAT